GAATCCTTTTGATTTTCAACGATATCCGAAAATTACTGCCAGAGTTATGGCCCTTGTTCAATTTAAAATATCTTGTGGACGCTCTAGAGATTAAAGTTAATATCAGATTGACTTCAGATTTATACACAGTGTTTAAGGTCGTGAGACGCAGAAGCCCAGTGATTGTCAGTGATTTCAGATAATTACTTCCAGAGTTATGGCCCTTGATCACTTTGAAAAATCTTGTGGATGCTCTAGAGACCAAAGTTATCATCCGATTGACTTTTGATTGATAAACAGAGTTAAAGGGTCTTGAGACGAAGAAGTTAATTTTCAATGAATTTTGATAACTTGAACAGCTAAATCCATGATATTAAATGTATCGTATATTAAACGTTAGCATGGGGCAGTACTAAAAGTCAAACAAATTCTAATGATTGTCTGATAATTACTTAATGAGTTGTTACTCTTAATCAGATTATAGCGTATTATAAATGTTTCATTACCCACCATAGAAAAAATATGCGACAACTGTTGTTGACTGCTGAGACGACTTAGCTACTGTGGGCGTATGTTTGTTGCCTTGCAACCTATCTTTTTTTCCTTTTATTAAATTCTGCTTATAGTTTTGGTGATCAGAAGCCACAATACACATGACTCTTTATTTGATGGAGTTGGCTGCGATCAATTAATAATCAACTTTGATAGGCTTAATGTATTTTCTATAATGAAATCTGAGCTGTTAACGATTGTTGTTGATTGATTTTAATATGACATACCTGTAGATTATTATTGATATTTTACAATCATTCCATGATATATTCCTGTCACGTACCTGTATAGTCTGTAGGTTATGTTTACCCCAATAGTCCACATATGTTTATATGTTACGTATGGTTACCCCTATAGGTAATTGTTCATCTACAGTTATATTATCAACCCAACCAATATTTATTTTTAAGTTGACAAATTACACATAGTGTTGTTACTATATGGCCACATGGAAATTTTTGGTTGTATATTTTTGTTAACCCTGTCCGTTTCTCTGTCAGTCTTGTGAACACACTACAGGCTACATTTCGCATCCAATCTTTTAAAATTTATATAGAGTTATTGCCCTGATCATGTTGTACAGCCATCTGAATGCTCAAAATGACAATCTTTTTGAAATTTATATGCATTGTTATTTAAGTTAATGAACCAACATTAAATAGAAAATCTTGTCAATGCTCACTTGTGAGGTATGAGAACAAGTGTTAGGGTCGATTCCAGCTATAATTCCTGGTGATTTTATCTCTATTGTTTGTAAACAGTATTTTTATTCTGTAAATATCTACCATTCATCCGGACATGGTCGTTAAAAACACAATCTTCAATAACCATTATCTTCATCTAGCTTTGTTTTAATATTTAATAATATGGAATAAAATTACTGTATAAAACAAGAATAGGTTGGGAGATCTGATCTGATCATATGATAGATCAGTGAGTTTATTCTTCTGGTGTATGGAGAGTTATAGAGATTGACGTGTGATGTATGGAAAGTTATAGAGATTAAAGTCTGGTGTATGCAGAGTTATAGAGATTGACGTCTGGTGTATAGAGAGTTATAGAGATTAAAGTCTGGTGTATGGAGAGTTATAGAGATTGACGTCTGGTGAAAAGAGAGTTATACTATAGAGATTGTCATGTGGTGTCACACTTTTTGGAACACAATAACTCTCCGTCTAATTGAGCTAGAATGTTCAAACTTGGTGTAGGTATTTATTAGGTCAATGCCTTGATGGAGTTCAAAGATGAGCATTTTCTGCTTAGGGTAAGCAGACATGGGCATCACACATGGGGATTAGTTAAGATTCTATCTGTATAAAACAATGTACAAATTAAAACACAAACACTTATGTTTACTCTTTGAAATCCATTAAGAATACACAAAATGTACAAAGTACTTTGGAACATAACAACTCTGCTTTTAATTGAGGTAGAATGTTTAAACTTGATGTAGATGTTCATTAGGTGAATGTCTTGAATGAGTTCAATGATTAACATTTCGAGCTAAAGCTAAGCAGAGCTAATCAATTTCATTGGTCAATGCTTAGAGAGTGATGAAACTTAGTGTATAGTTGATAAACAGTTTGATTACTTGATACTTTTGAAAAAAATAAATGTGCTATAAATTAATATATGTCATCTATTTATTTTGGGATTTCATTGGAGGACATCAGCTTCACTATTGGCTTGTTCTACTTGAAGAACATTAATACATGTATGTTACACCATCTCCATGTTCAATATAAATACGTTACCAGTACATCACAGGCTCTGATTTTATACAAGATAGAACTAGGTCAACTTCTACATTTAAAAACCCTGTCCTTACACGCCAACATTAAAACCTGGTCCTTACACACCAACATTAAAACCTGGTCCTTACACACCGACATTAAAACCCTGTTCTTACACACCAACATATGTGGCTAGGTACATACACAAACCTTATTTGTCTACAGTTAAAATGCATGTATCACAGACCAATCAACATCCACCATACATCTTTAAAAAGCAGGAAAAACATCAAGAGTTTATATGTTACAGACCATGGCTTAAACCAATTCTATACCTTTACAGTAAACTGAGAGACCTACAAGATGAATACCTGTGTGTAATGTAAACCAGTATGTTTAAACTGCTAGGGTCTACCAGTAGTACCCTATAACTGCTAGAGTCTATAATACCAGTAGGACCCTGTAACTGCTAGGGTCTATAATACCAGTAGGACCCTGTAACTCCTAGAGTCTATAATACCAGTAGGACCCTATAACTGCTAGGGTCTATAAGACCAATAGAACGTGTAACTAATGATATTATCAGACAGCAGTTACTGAAGAAAAAGTCTGTGTAATATGAAACATGTAGGGTGGGTAAGGTTTCTCCATCACCATGGTAACCCATGTTATAAACAGCAGGTGTACACATTAGCTACACTTCTTACTATATAGATATGTACATTTGTACAAATATACTACTCCTATACCATCTATTATACTATATATCAGCCCTGTCTAATACACCAATATACCAATATACTCTACAGACTACATTTATCATCTGATTCTTTTGTAATTGATATATGTTGTTTACATTAGTGGGATGGAGAAGCCTATTTAATTTCAATAATTTTTGTTAATTTCTTTTGGAGTAATGGCCCTTGTTTCACTTTGTTGAATCTAGTTAACAAAAGTTATCATCTGATCTGTATGGAATTTATATGCTTCATTTAAATTAGTGACACGAAGAATCCTATTGAATTTCAGCAATTTCCGTTAATTATGTCTAGAGTTATGGCCTTTGTTTCACTTTGTTGTACCTTGTGAACACTCTTACGGCAAAAATTATCATCCGATTTGTATGGAATTTATATGCCTCATTTAAATTAGTGAAAAGAAAAAGCCTATTGAATTTCAGCAATTTCCTTTAATAATCATGTCTAGAGTTGCGGTTCTTGTTTCACTTTGTTGAACCATGGGAACATTATATGCATCATTTAAATTAGTGAAACGAAGAAGACTATTGAATTTCAGCAATTTCCGTTAATTAATTCTAGAGTTATGTCCCTTGTTTCACTTTTTTTATTGTCCTTGTTTCACTTTATTGAACCTTGTGAATGCTCCAACAACAAAAGTTATTATCTGATCTGTATGAAATTTATAGGCATCATTTAGATTAGTAAAATAAAGAATCACATTGAATTTCATCAATATCCGTTACTTTCTGCTCAAGTTATGACCCTTGTTTCACCTTGTAAATGCTCTAACGACAGTACTTATCATCAGATCTGTATGAAATTTACACAGATCATTTAAATTAGTGACACAAAGGCTCCTCAGCAATTTCCAATAATTAAGACTAGAGTTATTATAGCCCTTGTTCAACCTTGCTGAACCTTGTGAACATTCGAAGGACGAAAGTTATCATCTGATCTGTACGGAATTTATATGCAACATTTAGATTAGTGAAACGAAGAATCCTATTGAATTTCCGCACCTTGTGAATGCTCAAATGATGAAAGTTATCATCCGATCTGTATGAAATTTATATGCATTATTTGAATTAGTAAAATTTCAACCATTTCTGTACATTACTTCCAGAGTTAAGGTCCTTATTTCAGTTTGTAGAACCATGTGAACCCTCAAACGACAAAAATTATAATCTGATCTGTGTGAAATTGTCTTGTAAATAAATGCCCCCAATTACTTAGAATATACACGTAAGGCTATTTTTTATTTTCTGGAGCTGTCAAGCCAGCAAGAGTGTTATTGTCCCTTTAAATAAATACCAGGCATATTGAATAGCTGATAGTAGTATTTTGGATATAATAATATATGATGAGAGCACCCTGTTTGTAAATGTTAGATATAATAATATGATGAGAGCACCCTGTTTGTAAATGTTAAAGAGTCATCATAATTTTGGAGATTTTTGTGGATCCCACAAATTATTCACCATGAATAAAAACACACACAAAAAAAACCCAAAGAATGAATTGACTTTTGTGGATTTATATATTATCATGTAAATTGATGTGTTAATCTGTCATTGTCCCAGTATCACCTGGGCTACCTGGACTACCTGGATCACCTGGACAACAATCATTTTTATCTTACTATATGTAACAGACCTACACACTCAAAGTGTTAATATCTCTTTTAAGATTATCAATGGAGAGAGAGAGAGAGAGAGTTTAATGTCCACTAGGTCATTTTGGGACTAACACATGGTTCAATTTTATTTCGATGTGTCTTTAGCAGTGGGGGGATACCGGAGGACCCGGAGAAAACTCAAGAGGTTGGACCGACAACCCTATTCCTTGTCACGTACAACAGAGAAATCGAAACCACGCCATTACTCTATAGCTGTTGTCTCTAAGATATATATTAAACAACATATAAAAAGGGTTAGAAGAACCTTAACTAGTAGAATAACCACATTTCATAGTTGATTGGATTTTTCTATAATTTCAGATTGTGACAAGTGAAGCTATGGTGACAAAATTTTGTAATTTATAAGAGAAAGAAATCTGACAATATCACCATGATATCTGCATCTGTCAGAAGTGTCATCATATTCCTGATAGTGGTAGCCATCTTTGTGTCCATAGCAACGGCAGCTAAGAAAGGCAGAAAGAAAAGTGAGTAACAAAATCTGATGAAAACAGACCCAGGGACTTATGCCTCACAAGTTCGTCGCTGGAGTCTACGCCTCAAAACCATCATAAGTACTCTTTCCATCAAAAATAAGTTTGGTGTGAGGATTTGTCTAGTTGCTAAGATACGATGTTTAGCCATTCGGATGGGAGAAAATACTGAGGCCCCATGTATACATGGCAGTTGGAATTCGATATAAGAGTCGACCATAGTGCTGCTGCCCGAGCAAAATTTTCATCATAGCACACTGCATAGCATATGCTTGTTTCCATTAGCCCATTCGGAGCAGAATAGTAGGACGTTAAACCCCATTTCATTCTCTTTCCTTGTCATATAAAGCAGGCCCTTGGTTGTATAATTTCAGCTATGAAATGAAATGTTTATTTGTTTCAGAGCATGAGGCACCTAAATGGAGAACGAACAGCATGCCTAATTTACAGGAAATAGATATTTCAACTGTTGCTGGTGATCCTATACAGTTAGATTGTTCAGCTAAAGGAAAACCTCGTCCTAAAATACAATGGATTATTAATGGAGAAGAGATTGATCCAGACACACACGTTGAATTTAAGGTAGGCACATGCATTCGAACATTCAAATGGGTGTTTGAGTACAGTGGTAATTATTTTCTAACAGTGGGAATTATGACTCATGTAGGAATTATGACTGACAGAGGGTCTTTAATTGTGTCCAGTGGTAATTATTACTAACTGTTGGTATTTGTGAATTTAAGGATAATTCTGACTAATAGTCATAATTATGACTAACTGGGGTAATTATGACTATCAGACGTAATGGTCACTATCAGTGGTAATTATGACTAACAGTGGTAATGATCACCATCAGTGGTAATAATGTGGTAATTATGACTAACAGTGGTAATGATCACCATCAGTGGTAATAATGACTAATGTGGTAATTATGACTATATTTTCTAGTTAAAGAAGCATATGTTAATTATAGCTGAAGTGAAATCATCTGATAAAGGAAACTATACTTGTATTGTACATAATAAACAAGACCGATTAGTCTGGAGTTTTAATGTTTCTGTTATTAGTAAGTATAATATTTATTACATCTTTTCATCTCAAATGTTGCACCTGTTAATATAGGTGGAACGAATCACCTATAATAAGAGATACTAATGCATAGTTACCGTTGATAAGAATGGTCAGCGTTATTATTATATCTATATACCAGGATACTCGACATAATAAACCAATCTCATTAAAACACAGATCCCTCTTGGCACAACACTGTTAATCATGCTTTCAAGAATATATCCTGATACCAAAAGGGGCCCCAAACGAAAAAAGAGCCCCCAATTTCTGAAAGAACATTAAGTTTGCTGGTTGTTTTTAGTCCATCTCAGTCTGTTCCTTTATATAATAAAAAAATGGAACCTTAAGTAACAGTAAATAGCTCCACGTTTATAAATAAATTTATTTATTTACAGAAAAGATCTGGCCCCTAGAAGTTGAAGGTCCTACCAATATTACAACTAATATTGGTGATACAGTGACCTTTACTTGTAAGGTGAAGAATGATCCTAACGCTACAATAAGATGGTTGAAACGACAGGAACCCACGTCACAAAAACATGAAAAATTCGCAAAAACCGAGGTTGGTCATCTTATATACCCATAACTCATCCTAATGTTTTCATTTAGGCATGTATTAACATGATAAGCCCATAATCCACTCTCTAGTTCATCGGATGGCCATGATATTAAATGTATTATAACACTTGTGCCATTTAGGCATGTATTAACATGATAAGCCCATAATCCACTCTCTAGTTCATCGGATGGCCATGATATTAAATGTATTATAACACTTGTGCCATTTAGGCATGTATTAACATGATAAGCCCATAATCCACTCTCTAGTTCATCGGATGGCCATGATATTAAATGTATTATAACACTTGTGTCATTTAATAATTGAATGTTAAAATAGATAATCAAGACTTTGTTTATTATCATAGCCATTGCACTTGTTAGTCAAGACTATCTTTGTCAAAACTTCGAACACTTAAAAATTTGTTCTGGAAAAAGTAATTTGACTGAAATTTTCAATATATTTATTTTTCATTACCTTTTTTTGAACGATTATAGTACGAACCACGAGCTCTTTCCCAAAATCTTACATAATGTATCTTTAAGTGAATAATGAAAAAGAATTAAAATTTGAGAATACAGGAATGGAAAGGAGTTATATCCATATTTCTCAAGATATATCCATTTTTATACGCCCACATTGAAATATGGTACAATATTGTTGTCGCTCCCGTCCGTCCATCTGGCGTCCACAATTGTTTGTGGATGCTCTAGAGGCTAAAGTTAATATCCAATTGATTTTGAATTTATACACAGTGTTTAAGGTAATGAGACGAAGAAGCCTATTGATTTTTATACGTCCACATTCATAATGTGGATGTATATTGCCGTCGCCCCTGTCTGGGTGTGTGGGTGTGTGTGTGTGTGAGTGTGTGTGTGTGTCTGTGTGTCGCCTACAGGCCACAATTTTTAAGTGATCATCTTCAAACTTTACATACTTATTCCTTATACCCTAAGGATGATCCCTATTGTTTTTGGTGCCTATTTATTTTGATACTTGCCCCGACCTCCTGGGGCAGTGTCACACCCACTTTATTGTTAGTATTTTGTCTGTAAATTTGGCAAAACAAACCCGGCGCCTAGCCTTCTTTGCCTCTGATCATATTACAGCCATTTCATATTTCATTCTCTTCATTTTCAAAAGTACCATATCAATCAAAGCTGGAATGTGGACGTATATTGCAACGTTAGCGATGCTCTTGTTAATGATTACCGATAATTACTGCCAGAGTTATGGCCCTTGATCACTTTGAAAAAATTTTCTGTAGGCTATAGAGACCAAAGTTATCATCTGATTGATTTTAAATTGATAAACAGTGTTTAAGGTCGTGAGACGAAAAAGCCTATTGATATTTAGCGATTTCCGATAAATACTGCCAGAGTTATGTTATGACCCTTGATCAATTTGAAAATTCTTGTGGACACTCTACAGGCCATTGACTTTAGATTGATACACAGAGTTTAAGGTCTTAAGACGAACATGTATATTGATTTTTGAACAGCTAAATCCATGTGTTATATTAAAAATGTTTCATTACCAACAAAAGAAACAATATGCGACAACTTTTGTTGACTGCGCGTACAACATAGCTGCTGTGGGCGTATGTTTTCTTGCCTGGCAACATATCTTTCCCAGAGATATGAATATTTCCCAAGTTAAAATGAATTTTACAAGTAATATGTTTTGATCTGTGTGTCATGTGAGTAATGTTTAATATAAATAAGCTTTATCAACATATTGTATCCAAGTCAGTAGATTATCTAGCACAGATAAATTCAATGTTTATTGTTATTTCAGTTTATTGAGAGTGGTCCAAATCCAGAATATTTAATTATATCTGATATTGGTATTGAAGATAATGGAGAATATCGATGTTTAGCTGGGAATAAATGGGGGGTAACCTACGAGACAGCTTATCTTAAAGTAATGGAGCCTACTACCACAGGTAGGAATTATTTAAACCTATTATTACCGACAGGACTAAATAACTGACATTCAGATCACTGCACTGTAAAATAGAGAGGCTGAATAGTCTAAAACAAACTGCGATTCATCAGGAGCCACATCAAGTTGACCGGAGATATGCAAAAATATCAAGATAAAACCAAACGTCCTTCAACTTTACTGTATTACACACAACCTAGATATCTATAACATACACAGTTTTACTGAAACAAAAGAAAATCTACAAGATAAACCTGCGGACAACACAGAATATAGACATTGCACCAAATAAACAAATATCAAATCAAATAAATGGATCCAAAATTATCAACACTTAGTGTGTTTAAATTTGTTCCACATATATATGTTTGACATCCCTAGTCTAAAACATTGCACTAAGAATCGTAGTACTTTCATGTATGTAAACGTGAGTATGCATAATTATGTTAAACTATATTTCTCTCTCATTCATTGAGGATCTATTTATGTCGGCTATTGAATCTCCAGACTCAATGTCATTGAGTCAACTGGGGTGGTTTTGATTTCCCGGTTGTATGTGACAAGGAGTAGGGTCACCTTTCCAACCTCGTGGATTTTCTCTGGGTCCGGTTTCATCCCACTGCTAAAGACCCCTATGCGCAAGTGAATTATTGAAATAAAATTGAACTTTATGTTAGTCACGAAATGACCTAGTTTGTTAAAGGGCCAATCCCGATAATATTTTGGAGAATAAAACTGGTTAATTTTGTGTTAAAAGCCCTTAAAATCCTCTGCCTTAGGGCCAAGCAACTAACTCAATATACGTGATATGGTTTCAAACAACTTCTCATCAGCCTTAATCTGGAAATGGAGACAGGTGTTCCAAGCTGTATTATATAGTGACTGGATAAAACCATACTTTTATTTTATAAAAATAACGTGTAGGTGAAATGTAGCACACCTTTCGTTATCAAGTACAGCACGTGTTTCATGCACTGAATAGATCTCTAAAAGAATGGCAATCAATTATCAAGTCACCCAACCAAAAATTTGACCCCAAATCTTAAATGTGTTACGTGTCCAGAAAAGTGATTTTGACCTTCACATCCAATCGACTCGATATTTTGAGCTGAAATTTTGAGACAAGGTAAATACACCATTCCTCTATATTTTGGCACTTACATTTCATAGGTACACAGAGTTTTATTTTTGAGACTCTGTTCAAATCGGCATAGTCCCTTTATACCCCATCTCTCTCTTTCTCTTTCTCTCTCTCTCCTCAACCAGCCACAATGGTGCCTAGTACTATAAGACCCCCATATATGGACCAGTGGATTAGGGGTTTATGTTTGTATTACAAAGCATTATTGAAGAATCTCAAATTTTATCATCTTCTATATATATATATATTTACAGAGGAGATGACGACAACCCCTATGACGATGCCAACAACGACGATGCCAACGACAGAAGATATGGTAACGTTTTTCCCACCAAACAGACGACAGAATGGAAAAGACCGCAAAAATAAAAATAAAAAACGTAATAAAAATAAAAATCGTAAGAAGCACACGAAAGCTCCACCTGTGATTTATGAAGAACCAACGACGATGTATCCCCCTTTTACTCGGGAATGGGAACCTAACCTCGAGATGAATCCGACTAGGAATTACGATGTTATCCGACCAAGTGTTCACAGCACCAATCAGATTCCTGATGTTGAAGCCGAATATAATCCTTATCCAGTAGAAAACGAGAACCAAAAGATTGGTGGTCAGATGGAAGGTGAAGACACGATAAGTTTGTGGACTATTTATACGATAGTAGGCTCTATAGCAGGAGTTATATTGTTGTTAGGTTTGGTTGCTATTACTGTGGCGTTGTGCTGTCGTCGTGATAGTAACGGTGTATATAAATCAACGCCTGTGTAACCATGACAACTATTAATGTATCTATATTTAGATAAAGCATGATGCATGACTAGAGGTTAATAATGTGAAAACAAGGATTTACAATGTTTCACGTTTTCAACACAAGTTGAAATGATGGAAGGCAAGGATTTTAATATATTTTGTGTAAATATTTAGGAAGTTTTGAATGAATAATATATTTTGTAATTAATAAGAGAACATGAGGATAATAATAATATTACAATATTTCACAGCTTATTGTGTTCATTTGTGATTTTCTCAGTAATACGTGTGAGGATAAGAGAAGATATGTGCTGGACTATTTCATCAATAAACCTGGACTAACATATAATAACAACAGGAGAAATAGTCTGACTTGGTCGACTAGTATAGGATTACTTGGTCGACTAGTATAAGATTATTTTGTAGACTAGTATAGGATGTTAGTGGGTGTATCTTATGTGAAATGAGAATTAAGAATAAAGGAAAGTATGATATGGTTGACGTTCACACTACAGGCGGGTATGAGAGGAAATACAATCTGTTTGCAAAAAGATTTGAAGAGAAAACTGAAAAATTTAGCAGATTTAATGTACCTGTGTTTTATACTTGTTACATATTTTATATCTAGCTATCATGATTTTGTTTAAGCATGGGGTATCTCTCCCGGAAGAATTCAAGGGAGATAACTCTAGTTTTATTTACTATAGGTATCTAGTAGATGTTAACTGCACAATATGTATGGAATTCATCTTATTATGGCTGTAAAATACCACTTGCATGTTCTGTGGAAATGTGATATATAATAATTAATAGAACGAAACGTTAAATAAAACAAGGTACAATAAAGTGAAACGGGCTATAACTCTAGAAATTATAAATGAAAATTGCTGGAATTCAATAGGCTTATTTGTTGTACTAAATTAAATAATGCAAGTAAATTTAATACAGATCGGCAGATAACTTTTGTCGTTAGAAGTTAGTATTTTTACTGACAAAACGTTGGATAAAACAATGTTGTTTTTTTTTATATTGTATTCTATTAATTATTGTATATCAACTTATCTGAATATCAATTGTATCATTTTGACTAAGTCAAAATTGATCCCATCAAAATGTCTGTAATTGGTTTGCGTTACCTGTTTCTGTTGAAAATGTGGTCGTATATAGCCATCGCCTCCATCCGTCTGTCAGTCCGTCGTCCACAATTTCTTGTGAACACTCTACAGACAACATTTAGTGTTGTTTACATTAGTGAGATGGTTTATTTTCAACAATTTCCGTTAATTACTCTTAGGGTTATGGTTCTTGTTTCACTTTGTAGAACTTTTTGAACACTCTAACGGCATATTAAATTTACATGCAGTATTGAATTTAGTAAAACGAATACAACTATTGAATTCCAGCAATTTCCATTAATAACTTCTACAGTTATGGCCCGTGTTTCAGTTTGTTGAACCTTGTGAATGCTCTATCGACAAAAGTTATCATTTGATCTGTATAGAATTAACATCAGTGTCTTGTAAATGCTCACAATACATTCAAAAGAATACATGTGACAACCCTTGTCGACTACTAGGACATGTGTATCATTGCCTGGCAACCTATCTTTTATTGATAGTAAATCCTTAATGTTTATTCTTGAATTTCTGGAAATACAGGTAGGATAGTACAGGTAACCACCATTTTAGAAATATAAATTTAATGATGATATATTTAGAACATTGTACCCAGGTGTGAAATTTTACCTGAGGTAGAACACCATGACATGTGTACATGTAAAACAACCTTACTATCCTATATATAATACAGATATACCAATAGGAATATAATTAAATACATTGTATTCTAAAATTACACAAATATTCACTTAAATCTTCAATAGCAACATATTTAAATACAGAAATAATGACTTAAATAGTAATTTATTAGTTGTGGCAAAGTTTTAAAAAAAAACCCCTATTATATCATTTTTTTCATTCAGTAACAATAAGTGAAATATTTTTATCATTTTTGTTTTAAATAATGTTTAAACTATGATTCTGTAGTAGAGTTACTGTAAACAAAATTTTTTTAATTTTAAGGACATTTTAAAGTATTTATAATGTGACATAAAATAACGTGAAAAAAATGTAACAATTTCCTTTCCTGGTCAAGTCCTAGTGCTTAAAAAAAAATCAGAAAAAATTGAAACAATAACCACAAATATGTAAGGATTTTTTTTTAAAGCTTTTTTAAAAAAATTGATATACTTTTAAGTTTGTCCATCCAGTCAGAGTTTGTCTATAGTCATGTACATCCAGTCAGAGTTTGTCTATAGTCATGTACATCCAGTCAGAGTTTGTCTATAGTCATGTACATCCAGTCAAATTAAGAATTGTTATAGTAATATACAAGATTTATAAGAGTTTTTATCTTATGATATATAGAAAGATAAGTACCATTTACTTTACCACATTCAACATTTAAAACAGTAAAACTTTATTATTTCTTCAAACAGATACGAGTAAAGTTATTTAAGATGTGAGTACATTAATTTAGATGTGGTGTGGTATTTTACATGCCTGTATATCATCCTATAATTAACTAGGATATGGTGTGGTATTTTACATTTGACCAGACCAAACAGGTAAAATTTGTATCTTGAAAAGCCATTGACTTGAGTAAAGCCTTTCCTGAAACGATGTTTTCTTTCAAATTTCAAAACTTAAAAATTTGAACCTAAAAGCTTTTAAATTAGTTGTTTTTCCTGAAGAAGTAGGGAGCACAATTTTAATACAAAAAAATTAAATTTAGTTGGCCCACATTTTGTAGATAAGATAAAACAGTCCAACACAATCAATTAATACTTGATTTGCTCATAGAAATAATATTAAAATATGGGGAGTAGTACCGGTAGGTTTCTTAAGATTTATAAACCGTCCTCAAGAAGTTTTGTTAATTAAAATTTTGTTTAAGAAATTAAAACATAATTGTTTTAAAAGCATTTAGATTTTTTTAATTTTATATTATAAACTTACATTTTCATGCAAGAAATGGGAAGATTGTTTTAATTAAGATAATATTATTTTGTAATTTGATTTGCATTGTTTTTTAATCATATATTCTTGTATCGTTCATTTTCATAGTAATTTTACTATTTTATTATATTGTAGTTTGTATTGTTTGCTAATTGTTGTTTTATGTATTTTTTTGTGTATTCTAAGTCGTCATGTTTTCATTATACCCACATATATATGTAATTTTTGTATGAATAATGTGCCAGTTGAGGCATACAGTTGTTGGTTTTATGATGTAAATGAAATGAATTGTACATCAGTGCAATACTTTAGTGTCATTATGAGACTAACATATGATTAAATTTCCGTGGTCACATGCACAATGGTAGGGAGGAGAGTTTGGCCTGGGCAGCAGCTTTTTCACCTGGTTTAAAGTCATACATATCTAAAGGAACATGAATATCATTAGTTAATAGTTCATTGAAATCTTGTATTTATACTAAAACTAATCTCATCCAATAAAAACAGCATTTCTATTATTTATGCCAGTGTATATTAATATTTAGCCATAGTTGTTTTATTAATAAATCAATTTCTTCCTACCTCTAAACAAACAGATCTGATAAATATTTACATATTAAATGTACAGTTTATTTAAACTACAGTATGTTACAGTGGGTGTGACAATGACCACTTTAATACTCAGCTATTAGATGTCTTCACATACACGAAGACCATGAGTAAACTTGTACCCCATGTTTTGTGATTGTTGAATAACCTAAATTAGTGGAAAAGCCATGGGAATCACAATATCTCCATTCTTGACAAGTTACACAACAAAACAATAAGGGCATATATCTGTAACATTATACAATCCTTTCACTCCTCGAAAACACTTAACCTGTGTCACTACTAATAATAGAAATCCAACACCATAGTCATAATTTTCACATTTTACCCAATAAAAATTTAAGTAAAATGAAGATTGTACGTTTAATTGTGAATAATTATATATGTATATATATTCTCATGGTACTTGTTAGTGTAATATATAGTGTGCCATATTAGAAAGTTTCTAGTCTTTATTTTTAAAATAAACTGTTTGTATCATACCATATCACTACTACCCTTCATTAAACATGCCCCATTATGGTGCACTGATTGCTTCCGTCTGTCAACACGCCAACATGCCCCATTATGGTGCACTGATTGCTTCGTCTGTCAACACGCCAACACGCCGGGATTGTGGTAGGAATAACTTATTAGAAACTATAAAACATTGCAAAATTATAGGGAAAACAAGTTACTTAGAATATATCCTACATGTTATTGTATTCAGTTACTACATGCCGCTTAATTTAAACTAGCAACTTTTAACGTAATACGTCTATTTCCAGGTTATCGATGCTAGGTAGTAATGTACCACGTGGTATATATCTTTATTTTACAATTCCTGTCATTTTGTACAATTATTTGAAAACCAAATCTGTGTATTTATAATCTATCTAGTAGTTTTAAAGGTGAACAAGCACGTGGTCAATCACCACAGTTATGTGTAATAAGTAATAAATTTTTCTTTTTAACAATCTAGTGTTTTGGTTTATTGATTGATTTTAACAAATAGATCATTTTACAGTTGGCCCACCACTGGGGAAGATATGAACATTAATCATGTTTATAAGCCCACGGGTTCAGCTCTTTCAGCAGTATTCTGGCAACAGCAGAAATATGGCTAAAGATGATGCCACCGAAATGTTGAGTGTTTTCACAAATGAACATGGCTGGTGGGCTTGGCCGCATAGGCGTACGGGCTCGAAGACAGTTAGGGGGGCAGACGGGACCTGCTATTCCAGCCTGGAATACAACTTCAATTTGGTCCAATAAAGCCTACCTGGCTGACCTGAATTCCAAACAACCGATCAATCGTCGCGGGCTATGGGGGCCTCACCCTCCCGGAAATTTTTCTAGCCCGTGTAAGCAACTCCAAAAGTATCCGAGAGGCGAAGAAGCGGAACTGACCTTGTATGGACCCCCCCCCCCCCCTCCCCCAAGAAAATTTTGGAATATTTGACGGCCGCAAACGCACTTTACTGCTTCCAGCCCGTAAAATTAGTGTTTTATTAGATTTCGGGCACTTTATTTTGCAAGTAGATGAAATCAAATTTTTTTTTTTTTTCAATTTACCCGTCTGCCCGAAAGGGCTTGGGGTTTAACGTCTGCATCAGCCAGTCGAAAGAAGATGATCATACGCCATGCAGTGTGCTATGAAGGGAATTTATCCCGGGCAGATTGCGTTACGAGATACTATTTTTACGACTGCCAACTGTCAAGTTATAAACTGAAAGTGAAACCCGGTTTGTCATCCTAGCCGAACGACTAGGCGCTCTCATCCCAGTCGAACGACTTGACCTCTCATCCCAGCCGAAGGACTAAGCGCTCTCATCATCCTTGCTACAATGACGAAAGGAACCCAGAGTGGAAAATCATCCGGCCTCACACTCACGGAATAAAGATGTAGCGGGAAGTCCACGACCGTCACATTGTCCACACCACCATTTCAATTTCCCCACAAAAAATATTTGGTTGAGCAAGGGTCCCTACTTGTTCTTATCATCACTTGTGCCAATAACAATACTTGTGGTAATAACAATTTAGATTCTTGATACAAAATAAAACCCTATTCCTCAAACAATCCAAATTTCACCCTGCAATTTCTCCCCTTCATCTGGAAGGTACCTTGAATGGGAAAGCTGTGTCCATAAGAAAATATGGGAGGTGGTCAGTAAAATATGAAAAACTTGAGTCGTATACAATCTAATGAATTTATTTTCAATCTATTTTTTAACTATAGTTATTAAAACAAAATGTATTATCTATAAAATTTGAATACGAAAGTAAAAATGATTATATACATATATGTATTTTCTATATGACATATGTTTTTATATTACCTGTAAATCCAGGTATGATATATTTATATATAACTATAACATGGTATAAAACCAACAAATTAATAACTATATTATAAACACCTGCTTCTTCCCTATCCAGATTAAACAATTCTGTAGCCTTATAATCAGTAAAACACTGCCCAGACAATATCCCGTTCCGAAATCTGTGACCCCTTCCCCCGCACACAGACCCAAGCCATTTTAGCTGTCTAGGCCCCACCCCCACACACCCTAACACCTATCATCCTTAGCTGTCTACGGACCTCACACACACCTAATCTACTTTAGATATCTAGGCCCCACTCACACACATATCCAATCTCCTGTCTACGCCCCCACTCACACATGCCAAATAACAAATTCACGTTAGCTATCATGCAACGCCCCCGCACACATACCCAATCTACGTTAGCTGTCTACGACTTCGCGCACATACCAAATCTACTTTAGCTGTCTACGGCTTCGCGCACATACCAAATCTACTTTAGCTATCTACAGCCCCCCCCCCCCAACACACCCATACCCAATCTTATTCTGCACAAAGAGATCCATCTACTAAAAGGCAGCCATATCCAAAAAACAGTATATTGTTTTGTAATGCGGTACTACTACGTCTCACACCCTACACACAAAGACTGAAAAAACATTTTCTATTTGATTAAATGGAAGCAGAATAAATACTTCTCAAAATTCTAGGAAGTAGGCTATTGTTAGTGTCTCCGACTAAAATCGTCGATTTAGGACTTAAAATGTCGGTCAACTAGTTTAGTGTCTGTTCTCCAGCTAACTGTAGATAATATACAAAATGCTCTCTCTCTCTCTCTCTCTCTCTCTCTCTCTGCCTAAAACAACCTTTACGGAAGTTCTGTACAACACTCATTGTACTAAAATAATAAATGAAATGAACTGGGGTTTAACGTCCTACTGTGCTAATGAAGATGGACATACGCCTTTTGCCCGGACAGCGGCGCTACGGCCTACTCATATCGAATTCCAACTGCGAAGGGATCTTTTACGTGCACGCCAATGTGTACACGGGTCCTCGGATTTTCATACATTACAACGACTATACAGATGTCTTTGTCAGGCCCTCCCGTCCTGCACCACTGACAAAAGGAAGCCACGCCGGAAAATCCCGATGAACTCCCTCGGCTAATCGAGCCAGCGTCTAAATCACTTTGCCACCGTGGATCCCACTAAAATAATAAATTAGAACTGTGTCAAGGCTGAAACAAACCCTAAGGAGCTCCAAAGATACATTACACAGTAAGACTGTTTTATTTGGTTCAAGTATTTGATTAGCTTGAGTCGATGTGATTGTGATGGGTCCAACTTGAGTGTGTTTACTAATTTTAATCTCCACACAATCAACTTATGCTTTTATGTGAGTGTAGAATTTTGGACGGACGATCTTCAGATACAATCCTGTCAACTCAACATTTTTAATTGATATCAAAATGAAAGCTAATTGAAATTGCACCCCCAATCAAGCGGCATTCCGTGGTGTAAATGGGAATCTTGTGAACACAATCATATAAGGGATAGGATGATTTCAGGGTGGGGTTCAACATCCGATTGAAGCTTATTCTTTAAAATATTATTAAACCTGTATTTACAAATAAACTAATAGCCGAGATTGTTTTATATAATAAACAACAAATAGTCACGTGATATAATCACATGATGTTCAGACATAAACCAGTTTTCATTGACTGACAGGAAGCACTAATTAACGGAGGACAAAAATAACGATTAACCAGTTAACTACCATGACAAAAGTAAAGGTTAACCGGTTTACTACTAAAGTAACGGTTAACCGGTTTACTATTAAAGGAATTCTGGAAACGGCATATCCTTTGTCACACACGATACTAGCGACATATTATTTTTAATTTATACATATTTTATTTTGTAAGTAAATGTTGTTAATATTTGCAAGTATCTGATCATTCTATATTAAGAAAAATTAAATTAACAATAGAGCATAAATAATTGGAATACCAATAACAACAATTATCATGGTGGAAACGAAGCCATATTTCAAATATCCCATGAAAGTCAGTGGTTCGTCCAACGTTTCCTTAGCTTTCTGAGCCACCAATAAGTTGGCTACACTACCAAATAATGTAAGATTGCCCGCTATGGTAGAACACCATCCTAAATACAAAACCAGAGCAAATTGGTTTTTGCAGGGTTCCAACTGATCTAGAACTATTATAGTCAAAGGAACATTACTGAAAATATTAGAACAGAAAATAACAAAAACACAGAGAATAACAATCGTGTGGGTATCATCTAAGTTGGCGTCAGCCAGACCCATTTGCTTCCAGATCCATCGAGGAATTCTGGTAGTGTTAATACCATGAAGCCAAACAAAGATACCAAAGAACATCATAATCACTCCCCAATCAACTCTTCCCATAATAACAGACGCATTTTTCTTGTTAAAAGCTGCATCAACAACCAGCGCTATTGTTGCACCGAGCATAGGCACCAAACCTGTAGAAATAGAAATAGTATACTTAAAGATTTGCACCAAATATACAGAAGCTTACACAATACACACTCTAGCTGTAGGACGGACACAAGAGAAGTTGACACAATATATTATACTCTAGCTGTCTAGCTGTAGACAATAAGACGGGCACGAGACAAGATAAATTAACAATTAGCGGTCTATTCCAGGTAGCAATTTTATTACTGAGATATTCACGTGACTAGTGGTTGGATATAATGTGGGTTAGAAACCATTGAAGGATACCAAACACCACTTGACGATTGATACTTTCCCCTTTAAATCGTTCACGTACCATTAACCTTATCTTATCTTTAATTTTGTTTAACTTATACCTTTCACGATTTATTACACACTGTCATTGAGACTAACGGGAGTTTTTGTTTGTTTTTCTTTTAGTTAGCATTAATTACACGATTTAAACAGAAACGTTTTGTCAGACTTCCATATTATCATATCGTAATGGCACGCCCGTATTCTATACACAAGGTCTAGTATACACTGTGCTATTCAACGACGAAGACATCGCCCCTATGACCTGGAAACTTGGCGTTAAAGAATCTCAAGCAAGCCTTCTAGCTGCATCTCCAACCCCCGTCTGCTAACACCGCTACAATTATATTACTTTAAACTAGAAAGAAGCGATTCTGGCTTACCCATGTCAAAAGAAATAAGTGAATGTGACTTACCTATGTCAAAAGAAAAGTCACCAACTTTTATAAACATGAGAACAATTACCACCACCAATAAAACACATAGAAATATTTTAAAGCCTCGAGAATGACTTTGGTTGAATGTGTAACCGGGATCCTGTTCGATAATAATTTGTTTGTCTGCTGGTTTGGTTGTTTTATCTATTATATTAATAACTAAAGCACTGTCAGCTTTATAGTTAGTTTCCAGTGCATTATCTTTATCCGTGGCCAAATCATCATCATCATTATTAACATGTCTTGATTTCCTATTTCCGTCTTCTGAAAAGATGATGGACCTCTCAGCTGTTCCTAGATCACCACCACCATTAACTTCATCTTCTCCTTTTATCATACCCGGTTTGGGTCTTGAATAAACCCCAGAGGAACCATATTTCCTTATCTTTAATCGAAGACGTACTTTGTAGTGCAATATTAGAAATCCATAATTAATCCCAAAACCAATTAATGCTGGCACGCCCAAATAGATGATACTTCGGACTAAAGTCAGAGTACTCTCTCTAAACTTTTCATTGTCCGTTCGAGAAGCGATTAACGCCATTTGTGGATTTCCAAATATTGTCGTAACGCTACCAATATTAGCCGATGTTGCTATGGCTAAGAGAAGGGTCTGAAGTTCGGCAGCTCGGCGATTCTGTTTTTCCCAATATTTTAAGAAGATTGGGGTAAGAATAACACAAGCCGCATCATTTGTAAACAAAGCGGAAAAGATAAATGTTACCAGACTCACTCTCCAGATATAGTTGGCGAACGAATGAGATTCTTTTAATGATATTTTCAGAATTTTTCCAATCATTTTCTCCCGTTCAAAGAACTGTGACAGCAGCATCATCCCAAGAAGCAGGAATATGGTCCGGAGATTCTCTGTTTCACCCAGAAGATGGTAAACTTCTTTCTGGGATAGGACGGTTGTTATCACCATAAGTGCTGCACCGGTTAAAACCGACGTGGTCGTACCAATAGGAAACTTTCGGATCGTAAACAGAACGAAAGGTAAAATTAGAAGGAAAGATAAACTGCCACAGATGACTGTAGTGGTGTCAGCCAAGGTGTAGTCCAGTTTCATTGCTGGTAGGGTAGTATTGCCATCACCACACACCGACGTGGATCTAGCTAAAGTTTCGTTCATCTCCATCATCTGTGTTTACTGGTTGTTAATACCTTTAAAATAAGACAAAATAAACAAAATCAGATCATATTAGAGAATTTAAAAATTAAAAAGAAAAAGGTTGTTCTACCGAAAAAAAAGTGTTCTGTAGTAAAAATCTAAACGTTTTATTTTACATCACATTATAACCATTGCAAGTTGTTCACGGTATTCTATCTTTAGTACACTTGTACTACATGTACTTGTATGTATTTATTCATTGAAAGCATGAGAAGAACTGTTTTAGTCAATTGACGTGCCTTATTCGATAACCTATCAAACACATTTACAAAAGACGGTAACTACAAGTTATTCTTTCACTGAGTTACCAAAACATCTAAAAACTAAAAAAAAAGTATACAGTAGATTGACTAATACATTAACTGTGGTATGTTTCTATTCATATTTTCTTCGTCAACCGACGTGATTTCGATTCCCCGTGCAACTACTGCCCTCGTGGATTTCCTCCGGGTCCTCTGGTTTCTTCCCACTACTAAAGACCCCTACACGTAAGCGAATTATTGAAATAAAACTGAACCATGTGTTAGCCCCGGAATGACCTAGTTTGTGTCGAGTGGACGTTAAACTGGATTAGAACCCAGTCTGCTGCTTCTGATTAAATAAAGAAATGGAGAATCAAGACTATGTTTTTTTATCATACCGACTTCAGTAATGATGATCGAGACTAGGCCCAAAATTCGATCGCTAAATTCTCGGTTCAGAGTGGATCAATTTGACTGACATTTTCAACAAATTGCCAATACATTATCTAGTTTTTAACTATTATAGTGACAACTACTAGCTCTTTATCTCATCTCCCATAATGTATCTTTAATGGTATAGAAGGGCGCCAAAACAAACAAAACATGTGGCCCGAAACAGAAATGAGGCCTCAGTAAATTTATGACATATAACCTTATTCTGAACCCTAAAATGTATAACCGTTTGAAGTTGTCTATTAAAGTAGTTACACGGGTAAGGTATATACTACTGTTTATATTATTATTCATGTCACATTTGTATTATATTATAATTTATATTACATTAGATAAGATGGAAATAAAGCTACTGGAAGGTCAACCACCTTCACAAAATATAGACTCGACTCAAGAGATATGACATGTGTATTATTTATCACTTACAATGTCCGTGTACTCTGTGTGTTGTATGTTGTATGTGATGTGTGCTGTGTATGCTGAGTGTGTGCAATGTGTTATGTGTGTGTGATGTTGTATGTTGTGTGTGATGTGTGTTGTAGGTTGTATGTTGTATGTGATGTGTGCTGTGTGTGTGTGTTGTATGTGTGCAATGTGTTACGTGTGCTATGTAATGTGTTTGTGATGTTTGTAATGTGTGTTGTATGTTGTGTGTAAATGTAATGTGTGTAATGTGTGCTGGGTGTGTGTTGTACGTGTATGTGTGTTATGTGTGTTGTGTGTTTAGTTCCTAGTCATCGTCGGAAGCGGGAGGGGGGGGGGGCTGGAAAGGTACAGTATATAGTCGTTCGAATGGGACTTGTCTACGATATTACCCTTGGTTGAAGTGCACGTGGAACTCCAGGTACGAACGAAAAAAAACTAAAACCCGTGTACACCTTGGTGTGTACGCGACAAAAGACTTGACGGTTGGAATTCAATTTCTGTACGGGTAAATTTTCTCTCGTGGCACACTTCATGTCGTAAGTCCGTCTTCAGTTGTCCGGTCGTATCCTCGTCTTCAGTAGCCCGGTCGTATGTCGGTCCTCAGTAGTCCGGTCGTATGTGGGTCTTCAGTTGTCCGGTCGTATGTCGGTCTTCAGTTGTCCGGGCGTATGTCGGTCTTCAGTAGCCCGGTCGTATGTCGGTCTTCAGTTGTCCGGTCGTATGTCGGTCTTCAGTAGTCCGGTCGTTGGTGAAAGGTAAGACGTTAAACCCCATTTCATTCATTCATTGTAAATGGAAAAACCCAAATCTTGACCCGAGTTAGACTTAACAAGCCAACAGTGAGACTGATATTGTCCATCGCTGAAATCCCAAAATAAATGGATGACACATATAAATTAATCTCACATTTATTTTTTTTTTCAAAAGTATCGAGCTATCAAATTGTACACCAAGTTTCATCACTATCTACCAAATAGAATCAAGATTATCTTGTCCCAAAGCATCGACCAATGAAATTGATTAGTTCTGCTTAGCTTCAGCTCGAATTGTTAATCATTGAACTCAGTCAAGACATTCACCTAATGAACATCTGCATCAAGTTTAACCATTCGACCTCAATTAAAAGCAGAGTTGTTATGTTCCAAAGTCTTGACCAATCAAATTGCTTATCGCTCCTTAGCTTAAGCAGAAAATTCTCACCATCGTTCTTAGTCAAGGTAATGATATAATGAAACTATATTCAGAGTTTCATCGCTCTCACTTCATTATAACCAAAGTTATCGTGCCCCAAAGCATCAACCAATCCGATTGCTTATCTCTGCTTACCGTAAGTAGACAACAATTGTCATCTTTGAACTCCATCAAGGTACTGACCTAATAAACACTTACACCAAGTTTGAACATTTTAGCTCAATTAGAAAGAGAGTTACTGTGTCCCAAAAAGTGTGACGGACAGACGGACGGACGGGCGTACAGACAGACAGACAGACGGACGGACGGACGAACCCATTTAAATAGTCCCCTGCTTTCTTCGAAAGGCGGGGGACAATTTGTGAAGGCTTCGATAAATGGAATTAACAGTTTGTAGATAATAGATAAGTGTTAAAGATGAACACGAGTATATAAATATCCAACACAGTTGACCCTAATTAATCCATCAAATATAATAAATGAAATGAAATGTTGTTTTATGGCACGTCAAATATAATAAAAATCATGGACAAATACACAAAACTTGTGAGAACAATTTCATAATGAAAGGGGAAACAAGGCTGTCGTGGTAAACGGTAAGCATACCCTCCCTGGCGCCCGACACCCATAAATTACAGAGCATATTAAATTTGAAAGATAGACGTCGTGGACTACTTCCCGTCAGTGTGAAACAACTAGCAACCTTTTACCCGTATTAATCAATGTCTTCTTGTTTGTTTGTATTTACTATAATTTACGCTGGCAACATGTCCTTGTTTGTGTATTTACTATATATTACAGTATTTGGCTTTCTGTTGATCACAGATCAACGTAGGAATGTTGGTGATTTTAATTTCTCCCCCCCCCCTCCCCCATAAAAAAAATACCGCAAATAAAAACACACAAAAAAACAACAAAAAAACAAACGGTGGATTGTTGTGGATAACAACTCATTATATTTTTCCACAATTAAAATGTTTCGTAAATTTATTTTGTTAACAATTTCAACGTTAAATATTCGCTTAGAGACAAAGGTACAAGTGTTGTTTGTGATATTCCAACAATAATCCTACCATCGAACGTACAACTGTTGTTTGTGATATTCCAACAATAATCCTACCATCGAACGTACAACTGTTGTTTGTGATATTCTGACACACTAATACTACCATCAAACAATATAATGAAAAGAATATTTTTATCTTTACACAGCATTTAAAATTATTTCAAGTTTTTATATTGTTTACCATTTTATTTTATGTTTAGATTCTACTGTATTTCATTTTACGGATTGAGGAATATTTTGAACAATTGATAAATTTCATTCTATATTTATAAAGATATGAAGAATTGATAATTTGTCAGGATATAGTCAACACATTTCTGCATATCATTTTCGCTTAAATATTTTGACGGGCCTCTTTTTAATTGGATTGAATCTAAGTCAAGGGGGATTATCTGTCCTTGAAAATTGATGTTTTTTTAAATAATCAGTTTGTGTACCGGTATATTTTATCAATTTGAGTACCAGTATATTTTATCAATTTGAGTAGCGGTATATTTTATCAATTTGAGTACAGTAATATTTTATCAATTTGAGTACAGGAATATTTTATGGCGAAAATTAGATATTGTCCGTAAATAAATGAAAATGGCGATCCCCCAGATTTAAGACTTCTTTAGATGTTGACATGATCAAGTGGAAGGGGGTTAATGTAGAGGTAGATACCAAATTTAATAAAACAAAAAGATATATTTATCTTTTAAAAAAAAAAATGAAAGATGTGTAGTCATTTTAAATTGGTTTGTATAATTGGTTTGTATAATTAGTTTGCATAATTAGTTTGTATAATTAGAAAAAAGAACTAAACTAAATATTGTTTTATCAGAAAGTGTCACTTGAAGATAACTGACCTCAATGATTTGTAGCTTGCATAAGCCTAATTTACGTATGTAAGTTATGTGTTGCACGTATGTAAGTTATGTATTGTATGGTTTTATAGACGTTATTTCAGTGTGTCATATACTAGTTTGAATATGCATAACAATATGTTATTGTGATTCACCGTACTTCAATCTTATCACTATTAATGTGTTTAAGCAATAAACTTACACTAGTTAAAATACAATATAACCATTCGGGGAGACTGAAAACAGAAATATCAGGGGTTGAAAACATCACAGAGAATTTAAACTACCAAACTGTAAGAAAAAACCTTTACAACGACACATGAGAAACCAAAAGCCCGACGTACGAATATGAATACATAAAATCATATGAAACTGATTGTTTGAACCGCATGACACAATTATATGGAATACATATGAAAGATTTATTTTTATCGACGTTTCAACGAGTGATAAAGTCAAGCGAGTCCTAGTCTAAATATTGCCAGATAAAAACAACTGAGTAACCTGTATTCCATATAATTGTGTCATGTAAAGTAAGATAGTCACTAATAAATTATATAGATATATTTACCTTGTAGAGGTCCTACTTGTGATACCTACTATCATATCTCTGTCTTAAAATCAAGTGGTGTGTAACTTTTAAATAAGTAATCAAATTTACATACTGTTTTTATTATTTATACATCTATCTATGTAACTGATATCCTACCCGAGATGTCATTTACACCATCGTAACACTTCATTTTTATACACGTTTCACTAACCAACAAGAATCCTTTATCCCTTCATTTTTGCACCAATCACGTTTCAGGGGGACGTGAAGATATTCCGGGGTCTATCACCCCCTGCGTGTGTGCATCCATTTTATCAAACCGCCATTAAGCGGATCCTAGGACGCCAAAGCTGACATCTTTCTTATGGCTGTATTAATTTAACTGTAAAATGACGAAGCACATACATCAAGCAGGCCTTTCAATGTCAACCATTATTTCATCTCTCTGGATTTAATCCAATATTTAGAATACCTGGAATATTAATCTGAATTTTTAATATAAAAAAAAAAATAAAATACGAAAGTAATTTCTAAAGTTAGCTTTTTATCATTCCACGTGGCCTTTTATATCACATGACTTTATATCAATCAATAAATAACATCTGATACCACGAGGCACCGTAGATAAACTTCAATACGTCATTATTCTGTAGAAAGCTTTTATCTTAATTGTAGAAAAACAAGGAAACAAACATCGCTTCTCTTGAAGACCGATAAAAAGGTGAACCGTATCTCATATAATTCACATAAAACACAAGATAGAGTGAAATCTCTTCAAACCTACCACCAGGTCAATATGATTATAGAAAAAAAAAAAGGTTAGAAAACTTATTGATTTTTAAAACATATGTACATGTAAACAGGTTCTGCCATTACCTTCAACGGGATATATTCCCATGGTTGCACAATTACCGAAACCTTTGTTCAATCGATCAACCATCAAATATCAACAAACTAGGTTATGTGTAATCCACTTAGAATTGACGGAATATTCTTGCCGGCTCAAGTCAAACCTGAGAATGTATCAATATCATCGGTAACCTATGGTCACTATACACCAGTGCTTCTCAACCGGGGTCCATGTGCACCCCCAGGCGTGAAATCGAAATGCTCGGGGGTGAAATTTGGAAAAAGGAGGAATTGGGGGTGAATTATACACAAAGGGGTGAATTTTGTGAATAGGGGGGAATTTGCATGAATTGAGTTTTCAGACTCCTGACTGGGACCCATCAGTCAGAATGTTGCCGACCACAAACCCGCGTAGCCATTGGTCGGAAACTAAATGGCTGACTAGCACCAGCATAATTAATTTCGACGCTGAGTATAATGGTGCTTATCCTATCTAGCTGTACTGTTGATTGTCCGGGAAGTGGGTAACCTAGTCTCATCTCAATGTGAAATAGACTATAGGCAGCTAGGTAGGATAGATCATCGATCGTTTAGTTTCTTTTTAAACCCAAACTCTGCACGACCTGAATGGGGGTTTCCAATTTAATTTCAATCACTTGTCTTTAGTATTGGTTGCTCAATTCTCAGTTTCTCCGTGTCAGTGTGACAATAAGCACTGTATTGTGCGATTGTGCATTATTACCTCTGCAGTATCACGCACCAAAGCTAGTGTCATAGTGACTTAATATCATGGCTACGAAAGCGAAGGTGAAAGTTCGAAAATATTCAATTGATTATCTGAATTTTTGATTTATTGCGGCACCTCACGATGAACGATTACACCTGTGTCTGTTATGTGATCAAACGTTGGGCAATGATTCCATGAAACCGATAAAACTTGAATAACATTTGAAAGCTAAACATCAGGAGCATGCCAAAAAAACAGTCAAATATTTCAAAGGCTTAAAACTCAAACAGGAAAAAGAAAAACCAAAGTCAATCGAGTCATTGTTCCGAAAACATGTGTCAAATTTGGAACGCGGGTTGGAGGCTAGTTACGAAATATCGTTATTGATTGCAAAGAATGGAAAACCTCACTCAATCGGTGAAGAGTTGATCAAGCCAGCATTATAAGTATTCGCCCACAGACTTTGATATTACCTTTCCCCGCTTCGTATCTCGTGGAGTGTGCATTCAGCGCCGTAGCGGATTTATTGACAAAAAAACGAGGCAGTCTGAACATTACTAAACGCGGCGATCTACGCCTGAAGTTAACAAAGTTAGTTCCGGATGTTAAGACCCTTGTTCAAAAACACCAAGCACAAGGTGCTCACTAAACAAGGGTCATGACATCTCCATTGTGCTTTTAATGTGTAAATCCATGGCATCTGTTCATTAAATATGTGTTTGAAACGATACCTAATGAGCATGTTTCAGTTTTTAGTTTTTAGTAATTTGATGTTTTATAGTGCCAGGGGTGAATAGCGGAGGACACATTTCTCAAGTGGGGAATTGTATCATAAAGGTTGAGAAGCACTGCTATACGCAGTTCAGTGGCCGAAGTCGGCAGTATTGGACTAGCTAAATGTAAGGTAATCCTAGATGTTCATACGAAGGTAATGGTAAGCATACAGTACTTCGTACATGACATCCACCACTACATCTCCTTATTTACACCCCTTATTACAAGAGGCGTTAAAAGTACAGTTTCATTCTATGCTGCAAACTTTACACCAGGGGCTAAGTGAGAGGGACGCAACGACGAGCTTTGTGTCATGGTTTTTGCGGTCCCTTGAGTTTTTGCGGACCTGGCAAATGGCCCAAAAAAATCGGGGTTTTAATGTGGTTTTTAACATTATAATCCTAATCATAGTGCTCAATCAGTGTCAAACATATACCATGGGTCAGATATACTACATATCGACTCTAGCATGTTCCACATAGCCCAATATTACCCGGTGGCACTGGGAGGGACTGACACCACCCCCCACATATCAATATTGGGGTTTTTTGGCGGGCTCGGACGGGATGTTATTCCTTATGCAAAATAATTAGTAACTACGCCCCTGTTATCTAAATTATTAACATTAATTAACTTATCCGGACCATAATCAACTCTCGATGTCATCGTTAGCCTTATATATTTACTGGATTTGAGTAGATTTTGTGATGGACAATTTAACGTAAAAATGGATAATTCAGACTTTGTTTTTTTTATCATACCAACATCAGTAATGACGATCGAGTCTAGCCTAGAATTCGATGGCTAATATTGAAGCAATTTGACTGAAATGTTCAGGAAATCCCCTCTTCATTATCTAGTTTTTAACTATTATAGACAGAACTGTCATATCTTTATCTAATCTACCTAATGTCCCTTTAAATTACCAGTAACTTGTCTTAATCTACGACAACATGTGTTTTTATCCTGAACCGCGACATTTTGTGTGTAAAATTAAAATCTGTAATGTATTAAATTTGTTAGAAGTTAATCCATGTGATGTAAAGACACGCGAGTTCAACAACTAACACGAGAGAAATACAATACACTTGTATGTGGAAGTAAAACAAGATAATATTAATACTGTAGTTTATATGAAGTTTATTAAGAACACATCAGCTTTGTATGCTGCTGGTTTCTATATAATTATTATCAAAAGACCAACCATATCAAATTTATTAACGTTAACATAAATATCTACTTAATTTCAAACCTGACAACTTTATTTATTATGAAAATCTTTATGTGCACAAATGACACCTAATGTATATTTCAAGCAGAACATTAACAAATGTGGTACGTGAATCAAATCGATTTCTTAATATGATTTCAATTCCCATAATCCCTATCGCCCCCTCGCGCCCAACCCCCAACACGCACCTCACTGTAATCAACGTAGAACATTTGATTGGCTACCCAATCAGCTCCCCTGATCGTAATACCGATATGAAACGAACCATGTCAGCTCCCCTAATCGTAATACCGATATGAAACGAACTATGTCAGTTGTGAATGTTTATTATGCAATACAAATTTCTGTTTAGCCGTTTTGGAGTTATTTTTAGCCTAATTTTGGCGTCGGGTAAAGACACTGTATCAACCCGTACAATCAAAGGCAGCTTTTCATTGGGAATGGATGTAATTGTCCATTCAGCAAATCAGCTTGTGTGTTTCCGCATAATATTGTGAATGAACAGTAATGTGATGACCTCTCTATTTATATATTTTGTTTTTAAGATTTATCATTTAATTAATTAATACTTCAATATATTCCTGAATCAATACCAGTCAATTACTAGTCAATATATTCCTGTATCAATACTATAGTCTACGATTACAAATAAAACTGACAACATATCCTTTATCTCCTCAATCGTCGAGAAATTGGTAAAAGCATTCGCCTTGAGTGTCCACTGCGTTGTCCGAGTAACTTTGGAGGCGAATACTTCAGCCGAATTATAAGCCAATAAAATAAAGTGTCCCAGGTATTAGTAAGTCCAGAATAATTAAGTAATTAATAATGTTACAAATGAGACTGATGCCCCGCGCTTCAATCGTAATATAAATATATGACCTCCAGCTATTAAATTAGAGTTTATTCCCCTGATCTCAAGTCACGACCAATCAATTTACTTATTTAGTCGAACGTGTTCACCGTCGCACATGTTTAGATTTAATAATTTTGTGTAATTATAACACCCTGTCGAGAAAACTTACTCTAAGCAGAATACACGCCGCACATTAAGTGAACCCATCGGTTAATTAATACACACTCCATATAGTTTTTAACCCCTCCACCACCAGAACAAACTTTATCTCATAGTGTTTTAATATTCCTTCACATTTAGATTTTTACTTATTTACGAAGATACGGACACATTTGATATACAGCTCACTTCCAAATTACAGCTACCTAATTTCAAATTACAGCATTCGTATTTTCCAGTGATGACATGTGATGAAATTGTATAAAATCTTCCGTTAGAATAAAAAAAATAAAAATAATTCCCGATATACAAATTCAGTTTGTTAGAAAATATTTACGGAAGAATTTAATAACTAATTCAGAAATTTATAAAGTCAACCATTTCGCGGTCTACTAACGACGACGGTAGTAAAGAGAACTGGTGATTTGAACATGCAGTGAAAGCTATGGCCCGCTTTCCATGTCAGCTTTTCCACCAGCGAAAGCCATGGCCCGCGTTCCATGTGTGCTTTTCCACCGGCGAAAATGAAAACATCGGTCTAATGCTAATGTAATGGGACCGTTTCCATCTAGACGACTTTTTCGCATATGTACTTTTCGCTTGCGTGCCCAACTGGATCAACGAATCGCGCTTATTTCTGCCCGTTCAGCTTGGAGACGGGTGTAGTATATACCGAAAAAAATCCGAAAAACCCCTAAATACCGAAAAATAAATAATTACCGTACAAATTGTTAGGTCGGTCATGGGTCAGGCTTGGCCAGGCATAGAAATCGCAGGAAAACTCTAGGTCACGCATGGAAATGGTGGAAACTCTAGGTCGGTCATGGA